TTGTCCAAAATACTCTAAGAAATACTATAATGAACAAAAAAAAATTCTTGCATTCAAGCAACTTACAGCTTAGTTGGGGAGACAATACACATACACAGATAAAACATTCATTAATTCAACATTTCCTGAGTAGTTACAGGAAGGCACTGAGTTTGGCACTGTGAAAAATACAAAAATAAAAGATGCTCCAGGGAGTGACAGTTTGGGCACAGAAGATAACACAGTTTTGCAGATTATGAATGGAGAACATGAGAAGGTCTAAGTGAAATTCTATGTGAATTCCAAAAAGGGAGACATGATTCCTAACTAGGGGTCTGGGGAAGATAACAAGGAGTAGAGATTTGAAATAAAAGGTATGCTGGACTTGGGTACCCACTGACTGGGGAGGAAAGACATTCTAAGTGAGGATCAAATGTCTGCAAAGACAATGACTTTGGAAAGCAAAGGGAAGAGGGAGGGGGCAGTGAGTACATAAAGTTTGGGGTAAAGATCCCGGGTTATGTGAAAGTTAGTGGGAAGGAAGGGGAAGTCAAATCCAGGGAATTCAAATGGGAGTCTAAAAAACTTAGGTGGTTGATGATATATGGGGCATAGGAAAAAGTAGCACATAGAGTATAAAGAATTCTAAAGTCAATGGTAAAAAGAAAGGAAAGTCAGGTTCATAATTACAGAGTAGATAATTCACTTAGGCCTAGAAAGGCAGGCATGATTCTCACAGGTTGTTCTAGATTATACAAATTGATGAAAGACATGATTCAAACAAGGCCAGAAACTCTTTGGTTGGTACCCTTCCCTCTAAGTCCTGGGAACTAACTCAATTTTAGTATTTTTTTAGATATGTTAGCTGTGAAATAACATAGGCCTGAAATAAAACCAAACCTCAGGAATAAAGTCTTTAACAAACACACACACAGACACAATCACATGCACCCCCTACCAACTCCCCCTTACATCCTTTTTGCTAGGATACTTCTATTTTTTGCTATTTCTTCTAATTACAAAATTAATATATGTTTCACCAAAGACAATCTAGTCTTTTCATCAATATTAATTTTAATATTGACATAAAACATAGTTGTTTTTCTTTACAACAACAGCTTCAATTCCATACTGAGAGCCAGTGTGCCTGGAAACTAGCCAAATGCCCAAGACCAGTATGATCAGCCCAAAGATAATATTGGCCTTTCCAAGAACCATTTGGGGCTCTACTACTAAATGTCAAAGAGACTGCTTATATACCACCTCCAGGCCTCTCAAATGTATGAGTTAAAGAGGCCCAAAGTAATCTCTCAAGAGACAAAAAAGAAAAAGAAAAAGAAAAAGGAAAGGAAAGGAAACCCTGAATATAGTAAACACTGATATAGACCGTTGGTTGTATACTCATCATATAAAGGTGCACAGGTTTAAACACATTCATAGATAAATTTATTTTTATCAGAGATTACCTAGATTACAGTAATTTCAACCTAAATGAATTTGAATGGACTATAACTAAACTCAGAAAACCAATGAGTCAGTGTTTATAGCACTTCTGGAATTTCTCTAGTAGGTCTTTTGGTTCTCACAAAACCAATTAGTCAAATACACTTGGACTTTGTATGAGGGCAGTTTGATGTAGAGGTTAAGAATGTGAAGCATAAACTCAATCAGAACTGATATGAACCTCAGCTATGACTGACTGCAACTGTGTGAGCTTGGGAGAGTTACTGAATCCTTCAAAGATTTAAGAAAATAGAGAAACACTTATGATAATTAGAAAATTAACACATGGCTGCCCTGGCTGGTGTAGCTTAGTGGATTGAGTGCCAGCCTGTGAACCAAAGGGTCTCCAGTTCGATTCCCAGTCAGGGCACATGCCTGGGTTGCAGGCCAGGTCCCCAGGAGGGGGCACGTGAGAGGCAACCACACATTGATGTAGCTATCCCTCCCTCTTTCTCCCTCCTTTCCGCCCTGTCTAAAAGTAAAATAAATAATATCTTTAAAATAAATAAAATTAATATATGGAAGGCTATCAATAAATGGCAGTTTATTAATAATAAACAATCATCACCAATTTATAGAGAAATTTATTATCCTTAAAGAATTAGTGCTATTTACTTTTTAAATTATAAAAATACACATGTTCATTTTTTTAAAATTTAGAAAAAAATAAACAATAATTTCATTTTCATAGTCCAATAACAACTAAGTTTCTGTATTTGCAAAGGCATCTATAGTACTTGTCCCTACTTTTTTTTTTCTTAATGGACCACATTTGGGAGTTGAAATGTATGTTAGGTTACCATAAGAGAAATATAGAACACTAGAAGTTTCATTCTCAAATTTCTTCCCCTTAGGGAGACCAAGAAAAAGTAAAGCAAACCAGGTATGTCTTTGTATACCTGTCTATAGCAGACCAGGTATGCTATCTTGAATGCTCTACAATGTACCATAAAATTCTTTAAGGCTCAACTCCGTGAAGTGTTTCACAATTCCCCTCAAACCCATGATCTCTTCTTCCCTGATCCCCCATATCTCTCATACAGCACTTCTCGTTCCCTGCATTGTAGCTATCCATGTTCTTTTCTTACCCGCTACGCCCTCTTCCCGCCCTTCCCCTTGCTCTGTCTCCTAGAGCTGGGGCTTTAAAACTGAGGACTGTGAGCCTCCTGAAATTACACAAAAAAGTCGTGTTTCTGTAGGTACAAATACCTTTTCCTGGAGAAAACCCACATATTCATCAAATTCTCAAAAAGGGTCTGAGAACCCTGGCTGGTGTGGCGCAGTTGGAGGATCAGCCTGTTCACCAAAATGTTGGGGGTTCTATTTGCAGTCAGGGCACATACTTATGCTGCCAGTTCAATCTCTGGTTGGGGAACATATGATTTGTCCTAGGTGATATGGCTCAGTTGGTTGGAGCATCGTCCCATAAACCAAAAGGTCGTCGGTTCATTTCCCAGTCAGGGAACATGCCTAGGTTGCAGGTTCAGTCCCCAATTGGGGCACGTATGGGAGGTATCTGATTACTGTTCCTCTCCCTCCATTTCCCTCTCTCTAAAATCAGTGGGTATGTCCTCAGGTGAGGGTAAAAACAAAAAAGAGATCTGGGACTCATAAAAGGTACAGAACCCTAGTCTAGGGAAAGATGTGATATAATTCTTATTAGATCCTCTACAGGGCCTAGCATCTGCCTATATATAGAGAGAAACATTTGTTGGTTTAAAATTGTATTAATAAATAATAAAATCAATGCAAGGTTTTTGTTTAATGCAATATTTTAAATTAATATTTCTCATATAATTACCTCATTCTCTCATCTTAATAATAAACAGTCTCTGAAAGGAGAATCATGGTTACCAGGGCCTATGGGGAGGAGGAAATCACGAGTTACTGTTTAACGGGTTCAGTTTCAGTTTGGGAGGATGAGAAAGTTCAGGAGATGGATGGTGGTGGTGATTGCATAACAATGTGAATGTACTTAATGCCACTAAACTGTACGTGTATATTTTATTGCAATAAAAAAATACAACTTTTTATTCTCATATAACATTAATCACCTATTACAAGGCAGACTCTTCATCAGATGAAAGGAATAAGAGATACATTGGTTAAATTTTAGGATATAAGAAAGAAATCCTCAAAGGAGAAGCAAATCTTAACCCCAGTCTACACATTGTTGGTTTTAGAGCATAAGCACAAATTAAAACTGGGTGATACAATCGTAAATCCAAACAGACAAGCTTTTATCTGGGTAAACAAAGGTAAATTGCTTGGGCACTTCAGTTTATCTGTGTGAAGCAAATTAAATTTTTTCAAGGTACCAAGTCACAACTCAGGAAAGAAATGAAAATGTAGTCCAAGTTTATCAATGTATTATCCACATGAATAATATAAGCATTTTGGATACCTGCAATAGGCATTTCAAAGTGTCAGGAACACATTTTATTCAATAAACATTTAGTGAGTATTCTTAAGCCTAAGAACTATGTAAGTCTCAAAACTACTTAAAAAAGAAAAAGTAGGCCATACAGTATGCTGATTATAAAGAAGAAGAATTATTTTCCTATGGTACTTCACCCTACTCCCAACTCATACTTCAGAGCCTGCCTCACTAAAGAAAGTCTAATTCCATTAGGTTACAAATATATTTAAACATCAAAAATATTCATATTAATATGCTATATTGATATTTCTAAACAATGTGTATATGTTATCAAAAACATAGATTCCAAGCCTTTTGATGATTAAATGTCAATGATATTGCTTGGTTATTTATTACCAATAAATAACTGATTTGCAAAGACATTTAAATATTCCATTATCTTTCTAAAAGTCCTCATATATAAAAGAGATTCACAAATATTTCCTCAGTGGAATCTAGGTAAGATTCACTTAAAAACAGAGTTAACATAAAAACTGACTATGAAATTCCCTATCGTAAAAAAGATATCCCCTACTATAACGAAGTATTGTGTATACAAAGTAAACTAATGTGTTTATTGCTCTCTTGTCTTTAACATCAAATAATTAGCAGAATATATTGGGAGTAAAAGAGAGAAAACTGTATTTGAACAATGATTAAAATAAAATTTAAAAAAATAATAATAATAATTAGCAGAATATAAAATTTTTCCATAGTTTAATTTACCAAAAAGCCAAATTTTCCTAATATTTACTTGTTCAGGAGTATGCATTCAATAAGTATTACGTAGTGCCTGGCATGCATCAGGCACTATGCTGTAAGTGCTGGACAGCTGTGGACCCCAAGTAGCCATATCCTACCTAAACATGACTGCTTTTCCAGAACACAGATTTACATCACCACCTCAAGTGTCTTTGTGTTTTTGAAAACAACCGTTCTGATAACAGTTTGAAAAATTTAATTCATGAACCTGATCTCTGATTATGTTTATTAAGATATAAACATTTTTTGCCTGTTAGGGAGTTTGTTTTTCTGTAAGGCAGCAAGCAGCACACCATCAAAGACAGCACAAATTACTTTGTTAAACTTTAAGATTTACCTGAAATGGGAACATTCTGTGAGACCGATAACTGCACATCTCCAGTTCCTGGTGGCATGTCAACAACTAAATAGTCCAGTTGGCCCCAATCTACCTAAAAATCAAGATGACATAAATAACATCATTGTATAACAACTGCAGTAATAATAGACAACAGCTTTCACTTGAGCTATTACCAAAAGCCAGAGACTGCTGAGGATAATATGTGAAAGGTAAATGAATCAATAAGAGACAGTCCCTAACTCTAGCAGACCTCTGAATGAGAAGGTTAAATTTCCAAATGGTGTCCTCGTCCCCACTACACATGTACACAAATGGTGAACCCATTTCACAATGGGCTTCATTCAGGACCGACCATTTATTTTCACTGGGAACAGCCGTATTTTACCCAAGAAAACCTTAGCTTTTTGTACTTTGGAGAAAAGCCTCAGCACTTCCTATGCCAGATACTAATAGAAGTTTTAAAAGTTTGTTTTTCCTTTATAAAACATAAAAATAATGAAAACCTAAAGTTAACAGTAAGAAAATTTTAGAGGTATGAGTTCCAATAATACAATATTTTGATTGTTTCTTTCCAGGCATTTTTCTAAACACCCATGTCTAGAAAATTCAGCTATATAACCAAGTCCTTAAGGCTCAGCCTCAATTTAGACAGGTCTCAAGGGTGTCCCAGGCTCCTTTCTCCTCAGATAGTTTCTCCAAGTCCCCAGTCTCAGTGCATGGCAGGCCCTAGGATCCTCTCAGTTGCTAAAGGGAGAAGCTTGGAATCATTTTTTAATTTCTTCCTTTCCCTCACTATCCCAGTCACTTATATTTTGCCTTCTAAAAATCTCCCCAATGTATCTACTTCTCTCTTCCCTACTGTCAGAACCCAACAGAGGCCACAGCCATCTTTCTCTAAAGCCTCTGAACCAATCTCTGCTCCAGCACTATCTGTCTAGCCTATTCCTAACACCAATGAAAAACGGTCTATCTAAAATGCAAGTCTGATAGAGTCACTTTTTGTTTAAAACTCTTCTATTGCTTTTAGGACAAAGTCAGAGCTTAAGCTCCAGAGAACTCTGCTTGGTCTTCTTCACTTGCTAATGCCTCCTCATTCTTCAGATGCCAGCTTGAAATTGACTTCCCCTAACTTCTGTTAGATTAGATATGGTGTTCCTACTGTGTACTTCTCCCATTCGTTCATTCGTTCATTCATTCATTCATTCATTCATTTATTCATTCAACCACTCAATCATTCACTCACTCACTCAACAAATGTTTATTGAGTATCTACCATATATTAGGCATTGAGCTAGGTATTGATAATTAAATGGCATCATGGTCCCTAGCCTCCCAGAATTTATAATATAGAGGGAGACACATATTAAGCACATTATGAAATAACCTGCGCAAAGGGAAAAGGTTAACATATGTCAGAAACTGAACGAACATCAACAAAGTCAGAAAGCAGTGATGGGGGAAAGGATCACAGTCATTTACATTTGTTTCATGATCTGTCTTTTCATGAAAATGTAGCTGAGTTAGAATGCCCGGCACAGAATGGACATGCTGTAGATGCTTAATAACTACTCTTTCAAGGAATGAATGAATAAATGAACACATACAAAGGTTCAAGAATTTTTTTAATGTGTATATAATCTCCTATCTTGCTTCTTAAAACAATAATGTAAAATAAGCCTTTTCCACATAGTCATATATTTTTTAAAATTAAAGTTTAGATGATATTGGGTCAAACAGATTCATTCATGTCATAACACATTTACTCAGTACATACTTATTGAGACTCAATTTAGTGCCAGGCACTCTCCAGGTGATAGGGATAGAACAGTGAACAAAACAAAGTCCCAGCCAGCATGAAACTAACATTTTAGCGAGGGAGACAGACAGACAAACAGAAAGACAAATCAGATGCTATGAAGAAAACAAGTATCCCTTTCTATACAAAGTTATTTGGTTCCTGATTCGGATATCCAGATCAAATAGCAAGAAATATTTTTAAATCTTTTCAATCCCAGAATTTCAAAATACAAGTAGTAAGAGTTCAGATAGCAAAGGATTTATCAAAGAATTTCTTTGGATCTCCTTAGTTTCCACAGTCAGATGGTGAAAGATACTCAAAGAGCAGGAGGAGAAACAGAATGGCAGAAGGTGACCCTTTAGACAGGGTGGTCAGGGCACTGGGTGAAGTGAGAGAATAGCTGGTGCAGTTCTCTGAGTGACATCATTCCAGGCAGAGGCGACAGCCATCGTAAAGGCCCCACGATGGAGTTATGCTTGGCACACCCAAGGTATTGCTCGGAAGACAGCGTGGCCTTTCTAAAACAGCATCCCCCAACATCAATCTCTCTCCTCCTTGGACGCTGTTTTTCTTCAGAACATTTGCAGTATCTCACATTATATAGTGACTTGTCTTTTAGGAATTCTAAGGATATTTCTCAAACACAAGTACTTATTTAATGACACATTTTAAGAGAATGATGAAATGATGAACATAAAATAGTTCATTTTCAAAATAGGGTTTCTTGGTTTGAAAAATAGTTACCTCAAAGTTACCCATGACCATAATCTATAAAACAATCTGCAAAAAAGGATAAAGAATACTTTTCATGTTATATCCTCTGCACTGAAACCACTAGCCCTGGTGCGCTGACAAGCCTGTTTCAGAGAACATCAGATGGCTGGTACCGACAATTTATCATTGTTGTTTCTTGGTATTTAATCACATTTATCACGGCTCCAATTTCTTAAAAGACAACTGTTAGTAAGGCTCCTAGGAGCTAAAAATACTTCACTGCTAAGGCCATTAATTTCAAATGACTCTTAAACTGAATTTAAGCTGTTTGAAAAAAAGAACCTGGCCCTAAATCTCCTCACACACAGCAGGCATTCCACAAAGGCTTGTCGCCCTGCACTGAACTGACATCAGTATCTGAGACCCAGTTTTACAGCATTTATTAATACTAACATTGAAATACATTAGTTACCAGGAAGTTTCAGTTCTCTTAAAAAAGAGTCATCAAAGCATTGATTTTAGAATTACTTGGGATTCCCTCGGGGTGTCCAACCTGTGGCCCACAGGCCACATGCAGCCCAGAATGACTATGAATGCGACCCAACACAAAATTGTAAATTTACTTAAAATATTATGAGATTAGTGTTTGTGTATTTAATGTGTGGCCCAAAACAACTCTTCCTCTTCCAGTGTGGCCCAGAGATGTCAAAGGTTGGACACCCCTGCAATTCTACTTAGTGTTTGTTCACTTGTATAAATTGTGTTACTTAATGTAAGGAAACACATACTAGCAAAACACCCAAGTAGCTCATTTGGTAAAATCCCATGGTAGATTCAGATTTTGTTGTGGCCCAAAGCATATGTAATTTGTTTGTGAAGTCTTCTCTAAGGACAAGAATACAAAATTAGAAATGCAAAATAAGATATAAAAGTAAATATTTATTTGGAATGTGAAAAGAAATCACCATAAAATGTTGGAGACTTAGAGATTCAAATTCCTTTCTCTAAGATCACTTGAACTGAAAATGCTTACATAGAAATGCTTCCTGATTGCAACCAGCAAGTGTGGAACCCTGAGCATAAATTTTATTAGCCTCATGGTAACCCAGCTTTGGGTAAAACCTTCTTAACTCCCTCTCGGGCTCCAAACTCAAAGGATCAGTCTACAAGTGGAGCTACTGAGGTAGTTCAGAAATGCCCTGTGGATATAATGAGGGTTGAGTCACCTGGAGTTCAGTTTGGCAGTGTTGGTCTCAGCCCATTTTAACTCTTCCTTCTGGGGAAAGAGATACTAACTATAGGCCATCTCGTTTCTCAGATGAACAGAGTTAAGGAGAGGTAGGGGTTTTTAGTCAGGTCACACAGGCTTATTGTGGGGTAACAAATTCCCTCCTTTTCTGTTCATTCTCCTCATTCTTAAAGGGCGCTGAGGGTTGCAGCGTCTGAGGGTCTGTCTTCTGCAACTTTTTCAAGCTGGGAGTGGTTATTGTCAGGGCCTCCATTACAGAACTGAAACCTTTCCCTAGCTAGCTTCAAGTAGGCCTAATATCTCCTGGCTGTAACTCCAACTGTTCATATCCCTGGGTTATTATTATCTGTTGTTTGCCTCAGGTCTTTTACAGACAATGAAACTAGGCAGCTCAGGAGGCAAGGCCCAAAGATGAGCAGTAAAAGGATAGTGGCAAGAGATCCTAAGAGGGGGAGGAACCTAGTGAGGGTAGTAAGAGCTCTTTTTATTGTATGTCCTGGGAGTTGGAATGGGCTCTCCCAAACAAGTGTAACCATTTGGCTTGGTTGTATATCTCAAAGATAATGACTTCTACTTGTTCTGTATTGTTTATCCATGTACAACATGAGGAACTGATAATGGTACATATCCCACCTTGTTCAGCTAAGAGAAATCTAGGGCCTGCCAGCCACAGCCGCTAGCCTGCATGTCATAGCACAGCATGCTGTACTAGCCACTGCACAGGCTCGTCCTTGTGTGGCCAGCTAGTAACCTAAAGCAATTTGACTGTCTAAGGGACCCATGTGCCCAGGGCTCTACAATGATCTATTTAAGACTTCAAGCTTGAGCAGTAGAGCTGGCCAAAAGCCTGACTGTACAGATTAAATTCCATAATATCAGGTATTTAATGAGAGATATGTCTATGAAAACAAAGGTTAATAATCATAGCAAATTACAACCCAGCTTCTGAGTTTGTAAGGCTGTCAGTCAAGATTTCTAGTTGTAAGGCTGAAAGCATTTGTAATTTGAAGTGGCTGCGATGATGTTCTCAGGTAAACTCTCTATGTAGCTTTCACAGCATCAATTCCTGAGATTACTTGAGCATAAGCTGTTGTGGTGATTCTCTGAATTTTATGTCAAGTTGTCCATCTTTAGCTTGCATGGCTTTGGAAAAAGGCAATTTTAGTTCTCAGTGGTTTCTAGTCAAAGGATGGGAGAAAAATTAGAAACACGTTTTGAGAATCATAGGCAGATACTGGAGGAGACTAGAAGAATTCAGGATCCAGTCAAGTTTACAAGTAGAAAATAAAACAAAACCTAGAATCTAATATTCTCAAGCCTAAATTAAATT